CCCTCTGGCTAAGCCTCACGAGGAAGGAAGAAGAGGCTAGCAAGCAGGCAGCTAGTGTGGCTTTGAGCCCTGAAGGTGACCCTGAAAAGGCACACGAGAAAACTCTAGTGTGACTGTCTGAGGAAACACCATGTTGCATTTCTACAGACACACAGGGCTAGGATTCCAGTATCAGCTCTACCCAATGTGGCAGAAATCCATTTTTTTAGTGATATACAGACATATATTTAAGAACTGTTTTGTCTACACAGTCATTTGTAGTTATGCAATGTCATTTTAGTCCTAATGGAACATTTTTTCTTTATTCATTCATTAAAACACTTAACTATTCTTATTTACCCTTTCAAGTAATATTGGCATCATACTGTACATCTTCCTGTACAGATCACACTGTAATCTAACTTGTTTTAAGTCACAAATTTTAGAAGGAATTTATCCACTTGAAGTGTTTTCACAGTATTAACCCACCCCTTGAATGAACAAAGACTGCCTGTATATGAGATTTTTCTCTCTTAAGCATAGCCCAGTGGGAGGAAGTATCTCTCGAGGTGGCTTTGAGAATTTAAAGTCTTGTCCCATTTCTAGTTCACTCTCTTTGTTTTGTGCTTGTCGTTCAAGATTGGAGCCCTAGAGCCCTCTGCCCTCTTCAGTCCCTGCCACCAAGCCTCCTGTTGCCATGCTTCCCTGTCATGACAGAACTATGTACTTAAATAAACTTCTTTAAGTTGCCATGTTTATGGTGGTTTATCATAGTGACAGGTCAGGGTCGTACAATCTTCTGGGTAATTTGAATGACATGGACAGGTGTGAAGGGAAATAACTCATGTCTATGTCTAGTGGGAGGTATAAATTAATAAGAACTTTCTCAAAAGTATATGGAACCAAGAGCTCCTGGCCTGCTAGCTTCACTATGAGAATCCATCCCAAGAATATTACCAGTTGGTCATGACATCTAACAATAATGTCTACAGGATGTCTTAGCTTCCTGCTTGTGGTTCCAGAGATAAGTCCTCAGCTTCTACTAAGGATAGGTAACCTTGGCTTCTTCATCATTCCTAATTCCACACTGAGTGCACTAGTCAGACATCTGGAGGGACTTTAAATGCATCCCTAGAATCCTTACTTCCCTCCCAACTTCCTAAATAGGAAATTCTACCATACGGCTTTTTGCTACTTTGGGGGAATAGTCACCTTAAATTTAAGGAAATACACACTCCTTCATTCTAATTGTATTGACAGAAAATGTCAGAGGTCTCCAGACACAAGAAAATGCCCATCTGTGATATGAACCTAAGTTCTACCATTTCACCATAGGCTGTCATTTCCATCTTCTCTTCCTTTGGTCACAGTAAGGAAATGTTCACCGAGTTCCACAGTTGTTAGGTTTCGTATTTGAATTTAAGAATAAATGTTAAAAATCATCTCAAATGTTTTCTCAAGCACCTATTGAAATAACTGTTTTACCTGATGCATTGCTGTAGATGCTGATTCTCTTTTTACTTAATTTATTTCCTTAGAGACAGGGTCTCACTATGTAGTCCTGGCTGGCCTGAAACTCAATAGATCTTCCTGCCTCTGCCTTCCCAGCATATGCTAATCATGGGTGTCTTAAAGACGGAGGACCAACCAATTTACTGACCATACAGATTTATCCACTGTATAATTAATTTTATTCTCAGCTAATTTTTATTTACAACAAGAATAGTTTGGGGAGAAACACTTTAAAACATGCAAACACCTTGATTCTCATAAAATTTCTCTTCATATTTTGTTCTTAATACATTTAATTGTTCCAAGTATATGTGTTATGTGTGTGCGAGTCATGTGCTATCTAGTGTTTGGAGGTCAGAGTTGGCTTTTTCCTACCATGTGGTTCTGGGGATTGAACTAAGTTTGTTAGGCTTGGCACAAGCCCCTTTACCCACTGAGCCATGTTACCAGTCCTATTCTTACTACGCTAGTTACAAAGTAGTGATGTTTGCATTCTAGCAATCACTGTCAATTTAGCTTCCAAACTTGCCTATTAATTCGCTTCTTTATTAGGATGGGATTATCAATAAGGATTTACTTATTGGACAGGATCTCACTATGTATGTAGTGCAACCTGGCTTTGGATTCTTGATTTTCTGTTCCAGGAGTTATGTGCACCACTACACCCAGCAGTCTCTTAAGATCCACTACTGCAGTTAATCATAGTTTCTTTTCATTATGTCTGGATCTGGAATCCAGTCTCAACTATGCACATATCAAAAGTGATTTTTTAATAGCACCAACATTACCATGCAGAGTCTTCGCCTTGTCCAGAGTCACTCAACAGTACAACTAATTACATGATGTAGACTCCGCAGTAGGTGTCAGTGTAAGGGCGCCTGAAAGGTGACATGCCTAAGTTACATGACACACTACACTGTTTATATATAAGGGAGCTGAGCATGCATGTTGCATGATACACTACATTGTCTTATGCCAGGCATCAGAGCATCCTTGGATTTTAGTCCTCAGGACCCCAGAAGACCCCATCATGGACAACTGTTTCCCAAGAGGCACCAACATTTTCAGAAACTTTTCTTCACTTTGTGTCACGTGAGATGCACCAGGCACAGCTCATCACAGATTTGGGAGCAGCCAGTTTGACTCAGTGGGGATAGACATCTGCAGCAATGATAAGGACACTAGACGTGCTTATTACTCCTTTGTATGTTTGCCTTCTCAGCAGACAAGGTAGAAACTACATTCATATTCAGAGGGTATATAGATAGGCTCCCATACAGACTCAAGAGCACAAGAGCATATAAACACACGTCATGTCATTAAATTATGATTTTACACTGACACTTCCAAGGAATGCCACACCCCTTCTTGTTTGCCTGTTCCTTACTCCACAGGGAAAGCTAAGCTTTGAGCACTACCCACACATATGCTCATTGACTTAATCATATAATAAATACAAGAAATGTTATAGATATGTTTTAATCTAACATTAGTAAATAGTTAAGTCCCCTAAGAAAGATATTTGGGATGTTGAGATGGTTCAGTGGGTAGAGTTGCTTGCCACCAAGCCTGATGACTTGAGTTTGATTCCTAGTATCCACATGGAAGAAGGAGAGAACTAACTTCCACAAGCTGTCCTCTGACCAAGGTGCTTACACACACATACACGCACGCACACACAAACATGGAATAAGTAAATGTAAGAATTGTTTTAAAAGATATTTCACTTATAACAAAATGTAGGACAGCATAGTGCACCACAATAATATGGCAATGTCAGCTGGCACCTATCAATATCATGGGAGTTGGAAAACCACTAAGATCAATGATTCGAACAATTTCTAGATAATATGAATTCAAAAAATACTTCAAAGAGCATCATCTGAACATTTGGCATTTGCCACAAGATTGATGGGGTCACTTCTAGAGATGAGTAAAGGGACACGCACCTTTTCCAATATGTCGCCTGGTGTTTTCTATTGTGGAGTTCCGGTTAATGTTGGAGAGCAGCCCAAGGCAGAAGCGGTTCTTGTTGTTGGAAGGATCAGTGTAACCATCCACCAACACACTTGTGGAGGAGGCCTGGAACGCTTCACCCACGCGGTTGTTGAGCTCGTAGTACACAATAGAGCACCAGTACTTTGGTTCCTCATAAACAACAGCTTGAACATCTGCAAGAAGGAAAGAAATTTGCTCACAGTTACACCTGGAGCACCCCAACCAGAAACCGCATTGTAAAACTGGCTGAGCACGGTGGAACGAAGACAGGGAGGGGCAACTACGAGGATCACATGGGTCATTTCTGTGAGATCCAATGGACTTCTTACTAAGGGCGGCATTCTCCTTTCATTGGGGAACTGGCAGAGATCCAATATACCAGCTCAGCAAGCAGGGCAACAGCACTTGCTGAATACAAATGACTTATAACTTGCACATTGACATACAGAAATAATTGAAATCACTCCTGCTGGCACACTACCTACAAGAAACACAGTGACCAATGAGAAAGCAAGTGGCACAGGAACAGGAGGGGCCCTAAATAGGACTGCTGTTGGACACCAGCTGCACCTATCCCCCACCTATGGAGGGAACATGAGCTTCAGTTCTGCTTGTAAGTTCTTTGAGGGCAAAGGGGGTAAAATCTTTTCCTTTAACCTTTTTGGTGGTGAAGCACAGAAAGAAGGAAACAAATACCATTACTTTTTTTCAGATAAGGCCATAAAACAGATGTGGCATATGTGTGTCTTTTCTGACACCACAGCAACTGTGGGGAGACCAGCTGTATGGATTCTAGTGTGATCACCCTTGGGAGTCTGCTTTGAACTACAGTCGATGGCCAGTTCCTCGATGCCAACTTAGAGATAGGTCTGACAACATGGATCTCAAGTTTTTAATTACTGAAGATGGGAAAACACATGAGCATATAAATAACAGATATATTTGTTATGTAAAACAGGACTCAATCATTTCCTCCGACTATCTCTGTAAGCACAGAGATCTTTAACAACCTCCTGTGTATATAGGTATGTGAAACAGCCGTACAAACCCACATTTATTGGTTACAAATCATAAACAGACGCATTTTAAACAGTTATTTGATATATGTGCATATATGTATATAAATGTATATATGATAATATGTATCACTTACTCATTTATTGGAGGTGAAAGCAAATTAGCAGTCTAAGGACGCAGATATGCTTGTTAATTTTTCGATAACTAATAAGTCTTGGCTGATTATTCAACACTGGTTAACATACAGCATCTTAGATTGTCTTCACAGGTGACTGACAGTTCCGTTTTCTAACCCCCAATGCTGGAAACTCTCTTCAACTAACTATATAACACAAGATGGCAGAGCACTGCTTACGGCCATTTCAGAGACCAGTGGGAATCTGAGAAATCCATATTCAATTCTGAGATCCCATATTGGACTGTGACAAAGTTTTAGAGACCAGTGGGAATCTGAGACCTCCATGTTCAATTCTGAGATCTCATATTGGACTGTGACAGAGTTTAAGTAAAAAG